GTCCCTCCTTGTGGGGGAGTTGGGCAGTGATATAAATTTGATATATAAATAAATAAATAAAATGTGCTAGCACGGCATGAAATTTATGAACTATTAATCCAAATGGAGCCTTATTATAAATTACTACAGACTTGTAGTAATTGTTTTGAGTCTTGTTCTTATTAATTTTCTTATTTATCATTGTTCGCATACATTTTTCCAGTACTGAATGAAGCATAAGATATGTTTTGAATCTTACCAGAGAAAACACTGGGAATCTTGGAAAGAAAGCTTTTGACTGTACGAATAGGAATCCCATTTTTCTCATCTTGCATACGAGCTATGACATCTTCCATCTGGGCAAAAAAGGAACAAATAAACATATTATGTTCTTGAGTAGTAAACAGACTGGATGAGTCTTAAGGCCTATCTAATTCAGCATCTTGTTGCCACAGTAACCAAATTAAATGCCTAAGTGAAGACAATAACCTCTGATTCTGCAGTAATATGTAGCTTTCATAACGAGTAGCTAATAATAGCCAAATTAAGACCATCTAAGTTAGTGGCCATCACCACATCTTGTGGTATCAATTCTATAAGATAACTGTGTCAAGAAATACATTATTTTATCTGTCCTGAATCTTAATTATTTTGATAGATTAATCGACTGACAGTGACTGTATTTGTATTGTACCTTTTCTCTTGAGAGCTTAAAACAACATACACAGGAGTCTCCCCTAATTTTATCCTAGTGGTATAAATGAAGAAAGCTGTAAAGAAATCTGGGCAGAGAGACAGTAACTTGGCCAAGGTCAACAAGTAAAACTCCATGGTCAAGTGCTGACTTGAATCAGGATCTTCCCAATCCAGGTCCAAGATCTTAATGACTTTATTGATTCAGATCCAAGACTTTAAATACCATACTGGCTATTAACAGCCAAGGTCAAAACTCTCATGAGATCTGTCCATAAATACAGCTTTGATGATACTCTGTATTTGAAACTGAAGGAAGAGACAAGAACAAGGCTAAGAACAAAGGTTACTTACCAAGCTAATCCTTTCATCTCATAAAAACTATTGTGTACCCAACATTGTTTTCTGCTTCTCCACAATGAATAACAGTTACAAATAATAGCATTTAAACATACATACATGCTTCTTCTAAGATTAGTGTATCGAATATAGTAGTAAGCATTTGTTTGATCATTTAGTAAAATAATTCTCAATCCAGTATTAATAACTTTGACTACATCTTTGTTGAATTCTTAAATGAGCCACTCATTTGCACATAACTATGGCAATGTATATTCAGATAACTACTTCTATGATATCACAGGACTGGGATAGTTAATAAACCCTTGATGATTTAATGCTATAATTTTCACAATTTTAAACACAGCATTTTTGATACTTGAAACCTGTAAAATTAAAATTTCTCACTAAAAGCCTGAGTTAGCTTGCAGAGTTTGTTGGGGGCAATTCTCAGATAAGCCATTTGACACTGAAAATGTAGATTTTACATAAAAAACAGCCAGCTTTCAATGTACATTTGAAAAATGGAAAGAATGGAAAACTTTGAAATAAGATTTGCATCTTGAAGAGATTTTAATTTTAATGACAGCTTCCCAGAAAGTATTCCAAACTCTATTGTAGTTTTTTTATAAGTGTATTTTTGGAGAAAGGTCACTGTGACACAGTTCAGTCTTGCTTTCTGATCAAGACAAAGCAGTCTTCTCTTAAACACAAGAGAATGAAGGGTGAACCCTTTTCGCATACACCCACACAGACATGCACACACCAATAATGACTGATAATATTTCATTTAAGATTTTAACATGTTTTTGATATTAATATATGTGGGAGCCAAATGCCAATTGAAATTAAGTTTGTACACTTTGCAAATAATTTTAAATCCAGTTTTAAAATCCTGCCCATCCCCTTTCCAGAGGAAAGTCGGTATCTTTGAGCGGTACAACCCTGTCCTCTCTGATCATGGTCTCTTGTCTCCAGTTTCCATTTTTCACACTTGGTCATAGCATTCACTTATTTATTTATAGTGCCTATAAGAAATTGTTCTCAGAGTGAGGAATATAAAGTAACAAACAAATGGTAAACACAAGGGTAAAGCAAAGATAAAATAAAGATAAAACAAACGTAACCCATTAATACAACAGCCAATTGAAAACCATGCAAAGGCTGACCCTTAAAAGCCTCAACATTCATGTATTCATTCAATGTAAGAACAGTCCTACAAACCTGAGGGTAAGGCAGATAAAAGTTACAACTAAACCATAATAAAATCAATAAAACACACAAAATGCTGCATAAAACACAATTTACAAAGCACAAATAAGAGTCAAGGCAACAAGCATCCAAAATATCCAGGCAGAATAGAAACAGTCTGAAAATACAGATAAGGAAGGAAGGAAGGAAGGAAGGAAGGAGAGAGAGAGAGAGGAAGGAAGGCAGGCAGGCAGGCAGGCAAGCTCAACAAGCACAGCAAGAGCTAAATTGTATTTCCTCACAAAATTAAGGCCTTCTTAAACCAACAGCTGGGAAGGAATATAAATATGCAGATATTTAAAAGTGTGAATTTCCACACCAATCTCTCAACTTGGAGACTGTTTCTTCCCCAGGTGATTTCATACGGATCTAGTTCAGGCCTGCACAGCATGAGGCCTGCCAAGCAGCCTTGTGCAGCCCACCAGCATTTTTTAAAAACTCAGTGAATCGAGTGCGCAAACGTCACCACCGCCACCGCCGGCACCTTGAATGGCGTGCTGCCAAGCACCTCCAACGCCTCCAGAACACAGGCAGAGACACCATCCTGACAGGTGGGCAAACTATTCTCTCCTCTTTTTCTTGACCTTCTTCACATACAGACTCTCAGTAAACAAGTACTTCATCTATAAATGCAATGTATCTTTCCTGAATGTCTTCTGCATTGCAAAATTAAGTCTGTGCGTTCACAGAAAGCCACAACTGTATTGTCACTGAATATAATCCCAGTTTTCCCTGTTTTACTCCATGTACCTGAAAGGAAGACTATTTTTCCCTTTAAAGATAGTTGGCTTCCTAAAGAAACAATTACATCTTAGATTAACTAACTGTCTAGTAATGGAGGGAACCTTCTTTTCTATCAAAAATTAATCTAAAAGTGTATTTTTTTCCAGATCAATATGGTACCTGGGGTGTCCTAAATTCATCTTTCTTTCAGATAAATTCAATATCTCCTACAAAGTTGTGTTTTATTCAGTGCAAGTCATTATGTTCTGACTAACGTAATGTACTAAAGCCATAATAGTACTAAAGCCAAACATTATGTACTAAAGCCATGTTCTATTCAAATTGCCTAGAATCTGCAACAGCTGAATTGGGGTAAAGCCGTGAAATCCTCCTCAAGTTTCAACTGAATCCAGAAAAGTGTTGTTTTCTAGCATGGTTGCCTCTCTCCCTGAGGGGTCACTGTTGGCTTCTGAAGCTGAGAAGTAAAGAATTACTGTAGTACTTCAGCTTTGCCTCAGCATTTCCCTTCTTGTGGTCTGTTTATCTCTTATCGGTTTCAGCCAGGCTCGCTCTGACAATGCAATGACTATTTCACTCTCTCACTGTCTCACTTTAAAAGACAACAAATCCTACCTGGGCAGAAGGTGCAAATGAGCTGCCATGGGGAGGAGAAAGAAAAGCATAGTTCTGTAACCAGTAAGAGAATTTGACACTTTCAAGGCAGGGGAAAAAAAGTATCACTGAGAAATTAGCAGTGTAGAGATGTCACAATATGGAGCAAGGAGACACTCCAGCAAAGGTCTAAAATGCGGCATGCTGTAATTTGTAAGATTTGTGGGGAATATTGAAAAATCCTAACGTTTATTAGCTTTAGTAATATGTGCTTTAGTAAATGACCAAATTTAATGTCATTCATTGTCTCTCATTCATTGCTAAATGTACACATTTACTAAGATAGGCTAATAGATAATGAGTTTTATAAAGAAATTAATTGGATCCCAAGACATCACTTTTGATTAACTGCATGTTCTAAACAAACGGTGAAAGGTCTACTCAGGATGTGAGTCTCTCTAAACATATCTGCAAGATGTTTGTTTGGTTTCCCGGAATAAATTCTTCTGGAATACTATTCAGGTACTTTGCTTTTCAGATTTATACTGCTATTTGTTCAATAAACCTAAAAGTAACTCTGAACCAAAACACAGGGGACCCTAAATTACTTAACTTGATTTTTTTAGTAAAAGTAACTAAGGGTCCATGTAAAATTTCCAGAGATTTTCCATAAAAAATAATTTTAGAAAGTATCCCTATCCAAAAGAGAGGAAAAAAAAGCATCTGAATGGATGAATTCTGAACACTTTTCAGGAAGTGGGAGATTAAGAGCAAGAACAGTGTAATCTATGCTGTACAAGGCCCAAGAGGGAAAAAAAAAACACCAAGATATGTAGTTTGAACAGTACATGAAGAGTACATAAAGATTTCCAGTGAGGATTCATGGCAAACTAGATGTCCCTGAAGGAGCGGAGATGGCATTGTGGTGGAGATCAGCATCCAGACAGTGAATTCTGGCTGGCAAAACCTCTCCAGAAAAAGGAGAAATAATGAGATCCAGACAGCTGCTCCTCGTGAGTAGACTGCAGGAACTGAGGTTTTTGTTGTTGACTTCTGAGTTGAGTGGCTGGGAGTCAAGGGATTTCAATCAAATTCATAACCATAATGTAGCCTATATGGACATAAGGTTTGCCTAGCCTCATTTCTTAATCACTTTCAGAAATTACTTCTTAACTGCTTTTCAACCATTAGGAACTTTTGGATTGGCAAGTTTTATACAGGTAGTACTCACTGGGAATTTCCTTCAATCCTTAGTGAAGGAAGTTTTAAATTCAAGTTTAAGGACTTTTAAAAAATTTTTTTTTTTTAATAAACAGCAAATAGTTATTAGGAGGTTGATTTTGAAAAGTTACAAATGGACTAAGGGTCCAAATGGATTTGAAATAAGATTTTGGAATTAATTCTAACAATCCTTCCCATGGGAAAATGCTTTTGTTTTGAATTTAAAAAAAAACATGATATCATGGGACTTTGAAGGTTGGACATTAGAGGGAACTAGAAGGAACTAAAGATTACAATTAAAGGAAAAGAACACTTAAATTTGACTTACTAATACAGAATGGAGCAAAATACTTTAACACTGGACTTATTGAAAGATATTTGTGAACAGTGGACTCAGAAGCTAATTTTAAGAGTGTCTGCCATTATAGATAGACTGAATTTAAAAGATGTTATGGAAGAAGAACAGGTTTTACTAGATAAGACTAAGACTGATTTGAAAGTGGATTTAAAAATTATA